CTGCTGTGGGCTGAGGTGTACATACACCTCAGCATCTGAAGCAACAGGAACACAGCGCAGTGTATCTCCATCTATCACCACAACAACTAAACAACTAAACAACTTCCCCTGCTTTGTCTCCGCCATAAACTCAGCAGAAAAAGAAGAAAAAGAAGAGACAGCAGAAGCAGAGGAGACAAGTCGATGAATAACAATAGAAGGAAAAGAGCTGCGGAGAGATATATCTTCGTAGCTAGCCATTAGGGCCCCCACAGCATCTAGGGGGCCCCCAGCAGCAGTACCCATGGGGGCCCCCCCCCCACCCCCTCTCTCCCCTCCTGCTGAACCCCAGCCACTTCCTTCTGCTGCTGCTTTTGCTGCTGCTGCTCTTGCTGCTGCTGCCTCTGCTGCTGCTGCTTTTGCTGCTGCTACTTCTGCTGCTGCTGCTTTTGCTGCTGCTGCTTCTGCTGCTGCTAATTTTGCTGCTGCTGTTTCTTCTGCTGCTGCTTTTGCTGCTGCTGCTTCTGCTGCTGCTGCTTCTGCTGCTGCTACTTCTTCTTCTGGTGCTTCTGCTGCTGCTACTTTTGCTGCTTCGGCTTCGGCTTCTGCTGCTGCTGCTGCTGCTGCTGCTTCTTCTGCTTCTGCTGCCTCTGCTGCTGCTGCTTCTGCTTCTGCAGCAGCAGCAGCTGCTGCTTCTGCTGCTGCAGCTTTTGCTTTTGCTGCTGCTGCTGCTGCTGAGCTCCATAGATCTATAGGCTGCGCGTCGTCAGCAGTGCTACGGGGGGCCTCCTCTGCAGCCAGAGTAGCGGGGGCCCCCTCATGCTCCTGCTCCTGGGGGCCCCCTGTACCCTCTTCTATAGAGAAGGTACCAGGGTCCTCGTGGTGTATTGCACTGCCCCTTATAAGGGGGCCCCCAAGCTCATGGGGGCCCCCCGATCTCCCCCTTAGTAGGCTTTCAACGTCTGGCGGGGGGCCCCCATGCTCAGTATAGGGTTGGTGGGGGGGGGGCCCCCCTGTGCTCTGCAGAGAGAGCTCTGCTGCCTTGGTGGTACCCTCGGGGGCCCCCTGCTGACGAGTTTTGTATCGCCTGGGGGGGGCCTCGGCCTTGCTGCTGGGGGCCCCCGGGCGCTTGAAGCCATAGTATAGAGCCAATACAGCTACGAGGAGAATCAGCAGCAGCAGGGGCCCCAGCAGGTAGCGACGAAAGAAAGAAGCAAATGTGCGTTGCTGCTGCTGCTTCTTATTACGCTGCTCCTGCTGCTTATACAACTTTGATTCCTGATGCTGCTGCAGTTGCTGCTGCAGCGACTGCTGCTGCTGCAGATGCTGCGACTGCTGCGGCTGCTGCTGCAGCGGCAGCTGCTGCTGCTGCTCCGGCAGAGGCTGCTGCTGCTGCAGCTGCTGCTGCTGCTCCGGCAGCGGCTGCTGCTGCTGTAGCTGCTGCTGCTGCTCCGGCAGCGGCTGCTGCTGCTGCAGCAGCTGCTGCTGCTCAGGCAGCGGCTGCTGCTGCTCCGGCAGCGGCTGCTGCTGCTGCGGCTCCTGCTGCAGCGGCAGCGGCTGCTGCTGCTCCGGCAGCGGCTGCTGCTGCTCCGGCAGCGGCTGCTGCTGCTGCGTCACCGGCTGCTGCTGCTCCGGCAGAGGCTGCTGCTGCTGCAGCTGCTGCTGCTGCTCCGGCAGCGGCTGCTGCTGCTGCGGCTGCTCCTGCTGCGGCAGCGGCTGCTGCTGCTCCGGGAGCGGCTGCTGCTGCTCAGGCAGCGGCTGCTGCTGCTGCGGCTGCTGCTGCTCAGGCAGCGGCTGCTGCTGCTCCGGCAGCGGCTGCTGCTGCTCCTGCTGCTGCAGCGGCTGCTGCTGCTCCTGCTGCTGCAGCGGCTGCTGCTGCTCCTGCAGCTGCTGCGGCTGCTGCTCTACCTGCTGCTGCTCCTGCTGCTGCTGCTGCTGCTGCTGCTGCTGCTGCTGCTGCTGTTCCGGTCCCTCCGACCGCGCAGCAGCAAGCACTGCTGCTTCAGTAGCCGCAGAAGCAGACATTTGCGAGAGAGGGGCTGAGCTGCATGCGGGGGAGACAGGGAGATCCCATGATGGCGGGCTCTGGCTCCTCCGTCTCTGTCTCACCCAACCCCCCAAACCCTAAACCCTAAACCCTAAACCCTAAACCCTAAACCCTAAAAAAACAAAACCTCTTTTTATCTTTCTACAAAAAAACACAAATTATACTACTGCTACCTGCAACCCCACATGTCAGTGAGGGTTTCATCAGCACGCACGGGGCCCCCCGTTTTCGCTCCGCTCCGCCGCCGCTGCAGTCCCTTCGGGATTAGGGTTTAGGGTTTAGGGTTTAGGGTTTAGGGTTTAGCGGTATGAAATAAAATTTTTTTTTTTTTGTAAAAATTAAATGTTTACAGTGCTTTATGATCCTTTATAATAATAAACAAAACAAGAAACAAACAGCACGCAACCCTGACGCCCCAGCTCTGCTGCTGCTGCTGCTGCTGCCAGCAGCAGCAGCAGCAGCAGCAGCAGCAGCAGCAGCAGCAGCAGCAGC